GAGTGGGAGGTAGAGGAGGTGTGGAGGGTCAGAGTGCAGGAGGCCAAGGGAGGGTGGGAGGCCCATGGGCTGTGGGTGCTGAGCAAGGGTGGGAGGTGACAAGTGTGAGAGGCTCTGTGGGTGAAGGTCCGGGGGGAGGCCCAGCGGCTGGGGGGCGGCGCCGTCACCCGGCTTGCTCATGGCTGGGGTCTGCGTTCTCCGCGCACATGGGTAAGCCCTTGCTCTCCCCATTGCGCTGTGGGGTGGTGGCCTTGGGGGCTCACCCATTGTGTTTAGGAGACCCATCTGAGTAAAACGAGATTTCAGTTTTGAAAAGGCTTATTTTCTCCCCTCGGATGCAAATGCAGCACAGTACAAAACTCATCCCTCGTGCTACTGCGGGATAAGGACTTTGCTAAACTGAGGGAAGAAATGAAAGGCAATATGCAAGGATAACAAGATGGAGAATTGTCAGGTTGGTTCCTGGAGCAATTCAAGACAGCAAAACTTTGCCCCATGTACCAGCTGTTGGACCAATGCGTGGGCTCTTAGTCTTCACCTTAAACCGCCTCTTGCGCTTTCTAGTTCTAATGGGTTTCATGTGGTCCTAACGCCTTTCCGCTTTGTGACTGGACATCACTGATGGCACTAGCTTTGTCATGGTCACCCCACAGGTGGTGCCTTCTTTAGTGATAAGAGAACGTTGATATTTAAAGAAATACATAATGTGGAGGGGACAGAGTCTAACTATCTGCTCATGCTTTCTCCAGTTGTCTACTTTCCCAGCACCAATTTGTGCATATATTGACTTACATATATTCTTCCAAGTTTGAAGCTCTAGTTTGAGAAAGTGGAGGGGATGAGCTCCTACCAGAAGTGATTTTTCACCAAGCAAAAAAATTCCTACACTCTCCTTTAGTGAAAATGAGAACTTCAAGTTATGTGTTGAAACCCACATTTTTCCATAGTAGCTTTCAAAGCCAGGTCAGATAAAAATCTTCCCTCAAAGCAGCTGTATCTCTAGCTGGTTCATCACTTTTACCAGCTATTTTGAGCAACCCAGACCAGACGTACATAAATCCAGTCTTTAAGAAAGTTCTCAGACTTGGATGAGTTTTCACATTTAAACCCAGTTGCATCGGGGATTTTGGTGCCTGTCCCAGCTCCTCCCGGGCAGCATTGTGTCCTGTCACAAGGCAAAGCCTGGCTGTCACCCATGACCTGTCCTCCCCTCCCAAGCAGCACTGAAAGCTGGCAGCGGAGCTTTCCACGTTGTGTCTTACCAAATACTCTGTCCTGTAAAGAAACTTCCATTAAAGTCAGAAAACACGCCACTCTTGAGAGCATGGCAGTGGCATTCAGTGGACATTATAGCTTCCACGAGTAACTTCTTGGGTCTGAGTCCATGTTTGAGATGTTTACAGCTCTGTTTGTGAACCGCTTGTGTTACACGGTAGAGTTTTCAAGCGGGGAAAGGTGTGCTCTCCATGGGGACCGGTGGACACCACAGTCTGATCCGGGCTTTGCATCAACACCCTTTGCAGAGATAAGTGACGGTGATGGTGGAACCAGGATGAGAAGTCCCAATGACAGTCCTGATGACTGGGATGCATGGAGGAGGCTGCAGAGGTGAAGTCAGAGGATGAAGACACTGCTAAATGGGAAGCGACTTCTATCACTGAGAGTTATGAGAATAACGAGAATTTCATTTCCTGAGCAGAAGAAAACAACACTGTCTGTAGCCTACAGCCCTTGGGCACAGACTGGGCCAGGTCCGCTGGTCCTGGTAGAAGCCATTACAGCCACTGGAAACGGAGGGTGAAGCAGCTGTGTTTTGCAGGCAAGGGAGCATCCCTCCTTTCTGATCCTGTGCAGGAACATTCACTACGGTCAGGCCGTGGGCGTCTTCTCTTGTGAAGGAGAACATATGATTTTGAAGTGGCCGTCGTCAGGGCTGGGAACGGCCCCCGCGCTTCCCGTGCTGCACATCCCGCTGTGGGAGGGAGCAGCTCTTTCCCCTGTGTGATAGGAGGTGCTGTGGCCTGATTTGGTCTCTTGTACAGCAGAGCTGTGTCCAGGGAAGCAGAAGCCACAGGTTTCCACCGGCTCTGGGACCCTGCTGCCGGTGCATCCATCACCAACGCTGCCCGCTTCCACCAGACGATCTGCAAATAAACTATATGTATTAGCTTAAGGGTTTTTAGGAGCACCTTTTACCCAAGAAATTCTTTGCAGTGCTGCACTAGAGCCTATAAAGAGCCGGTCCTGGAACTGGAGGGGACATCCACCTCCCACCACTTTGATAAAGCCCACGGCTCTGTGTGGTGTATGTAATGCATCGCCTGCGTGCTCACGCCCAGTCCTGCCACCCTGGGAGGTGAGGTCTGAGGGGGAGATTGGAAAGTGCCTCGAACAGGAAGGCTGGAGGTTTAGCACTAAAGCAATTGTAATATTTGTGAAGTTACGTGTAAATTGTTTTTTCATTAAATGCTGCTTTTGTAGCATATGCAAATGCAACAGTGCAGCACTGTGCAAGGTGCCAGCGAGTGCAGCGGGGCAGGCTGGCTGTCCACTGCCGGTTCAAGGGACCCGCGACGCTCTGTGCTGGACGCTAGCTGTCGAAGGGCTCTGCTCCGTCATCTCGGATCTGATAAGCAAGGTTAGGCTAGGGGTGTTAAAAAGCACACAGTAAATCTCTTTGAACCTGGCGGCCTCCCTTAAAAGTGAACGTTCAATGCCACTGTGTCCTTCGAAGAAAGCAGATAGGAAGGGTTTGAATTACAGTTCTGGAGAGTGACTCCGAGCCACACACCAGCTCGTGGGTTTTTTCTCTGTGATTTTTGACATCCAGCATGACTGGCTTTCAAGTGTACGAATGTAAACATGTACGTGTATGCATAAATAGGGAGACAGACCTTTTATTTTTAAAAGCAGGGGAGGAGAGGAGGGAGAATAAAAACATCTTTTCTATGCTGACTTTACTGCATGCTATCCTTTCCCTATCATTTCTCCCTAAAGCAAAGACTTGTGAAGCCCCTCTGGTTCCAGGGCTAAAACTTCAGGTTTTGATGCTGCAGGATAATTCAGCAGACCGGCTGCATCGTTAGCCTTTTGAAGGAGCAAGTAGCCTGCGTTACCATGGTTCTTGCCAGGTAGCAGTTCGCCCCGAAGCAGCCCCAGCGCAGCCCCAAGTGAAGGAACCCAGAGCTGTGATTGCCACGAAAGCCCTGGGTCTTCCTTGGGCAGGTGGTTCGTTGTGGAAGAGGTTGGCTTTTTGCAAGTCCTCCCTCCCCGTGCCTCTGGGTAGAGGCTGGAGAGTTGCTGGTGCAGTGGCAGTGGGAAGCCGTGCCTGTGACTTTGCAAGAGAGGGACTGAGAAGGGGGTTACGATGGAGAATCCGGGCATGGGGATTCTGTCCTGCTCCTCTTCCAGGCTCAGACTGAACCGTGTTGCATGTCGTTTGCTTTCTCTCCCTGCCCCTCTTACGAGCTGGCTCTGCTTTCTGTCCCTCCCAGCGCTACCTGGGAGCCTGTCCACCACGAGCTCCCCATCCTCTCCCAGTCCCCCCCTCCCAGTGCAGCCAGCACTCACCTTTGGAGGAGTCCTCCCTGCGGTGGCAGGTCCCAGCGCTGGCTTGGCAGGAGACCACCTCTCCCTTCCTCCGCAGGTGGGTCCAGCCCAGGAGCAGGGAGCAGATGAGGGCGCAGAGGCAGAGCCCCAGCAGCAGGTACACCTGCCCCAGCCCAGCCGCGGGCGGCGAGGCCGTGACCAGGACGGCTGGCGGAGGGGGGGTGGCCACCAGGGCACCCGCTGTGGGCCAGGCAGAGATGGGTGTGCTTAGAAACCCCTCAGGTATATGCTTCACGCTATTGACTCTTTGATAGGGAAAGGGTGTTGCTAATGGCACTTGTGTACTCTGCTTGGGAAGAATTTGAAAGCAGCTATGCACCTCCTCTGTTTGCTTGCATTTCTCCTCCATGGCGAGGTAGAGGAGAACCCTTCCCGCCCCCCATTCCCACCTTCCCCCTTCTCCAGTGATCACATCTCGACCCCAATGTGGGAATTGCAGATCTCAGGGAAAATAACCCATCCGCTCCCCACCCCCCGCGAGGGCTGGAGGCAGCTCAGCAAGGTGGGAAACGCGACTGCTGATCCTGCCCCGGGCAGAGCCAAAGGACGGGTCTGTAAAACGCCGACACGCAGAAGGGAGAACGCGCTGTGTGATGGAGTTGTATGATGGAGAAAACAGGAGAGAGGCGGGTGCCCTGCCTTTCTTTTCCCCGGTCCTAGTGAAATG